AGGCATCCGTCATATTGTAGAAATAAACAGGAAATTTGTGCTCGTCTGCCACCGTTCAAAATCCTCGTTCGTTTCGCACCCCCGCACGATTGTGTCCAGCACATGGCAATTGTTAAGTGCTACATCATCCGCTGCGCGAAAACGTGTGCATAATGTCTGAAGCAAAACCAAACGAAAAAATCGGGTGAAATCGACCAATATATGTCAAGGCCACGATCACGGCAGTGGTGGTGCGGAGCAACCGAAATTGATCAATTTCAATACTTGTTGTGGTTGTTTGTAAACGGGAATACTCGTCGTCAATTTTCGCTTCGATGGGAACGAAGCTATCATCAACCCTACGGCGAATTATCCCTTCCCTCGTACCTCACAGGCAGCCCACCACCAATCGGAACAAGACGTCAGGCTCCAGTCCGACCAAATGGAAATAGTCATGAGCCCGTATTTGGTTGTCCCTCCATAAATTTTGATAGAAATTGAGGAAATAAAAAGCAAAACATATCATGAACGCCCGCGGCCACGCGCAGAAGGGTAGCGAAGCGAGAAGGAAAAAACAAATGTTGTCCCAAAGCGGGGCTCGAACCCATGACCTGGGTGTTCAGAAGTATTTTTGGATTTCTTTTTGTTTTTTTCTCCCATAAATGCACGTTTGCAGTGAACAAAAATGACCCACAGCATGTATAAACGCTTCTACCCACACCCGTAGCCCTGCAACGACTTCTCCTCTAAATATACATGCTTAATGTGCCTTTCATGTACATTTCGCCCAAAAAATGCAAGACACGTGGGGGCGAATCCACTGAAAATATCACAATTAATTGACGCTCAGTTCTCTGTCGGGCGCCAGTCCTTCGGCGTCATGCGCCTGTGCGACTTGTACTTCTTGTAGATGTGCTTGGCATCAGGCTCTAGGGCCTTCGTCTCGAGGTACACGAGGGCATGCGTGTATGCTTTCTTGCAGTAAACCCCTGGACTACTTCAACGGCCTGCCTATCCTTTTCTGCTTTAAAGCTCAGCGGTACGTTTTTGCGCAAGCATTCCAAGGAATACGTGCAATTCTTGCGCGTCCACTGCTTGGCACGGCCCAAAACGAGCTCGATAGGGTTACACTCGCAGTGATACTTTGGAGGCATCAAGCAGATCCCGCCGTGGCGCGCCATCAACAACACCAGACTAGAATCAACTTCCTTAAAGTCCTTCTGCTCTCCAAGAACATGCTCCATGCTCATGCTCAGATCCTTGTTCTCGCCCGTGCCTCCCATCCTCGACATGCCTTTCTTCAGAAGGCCTCTCTCTGCCAAGATCTGGCGCATCCCGTTGAGCTTGCCCTCGTACTCCGCCGGTAGGAGATCCGGAGAAGCGCAGGGCGGATCGTCCCCGCGTTGAAATACCAAGTGTTGTACCGTGCCTTTCTTGAGCAACGGGGTGTCTTCCAGAATTACCACGGGGTCCATCGGGGCCAGCTCCTCCCCTTCCTCGTTCCATCTACGCCCAAGTTCATCCTCGAAACCATTGGCGCGCCAACCTCCTTGCAGTCGTGGCATGAAGACCAGTCGAACAGGCCCACGGGTTTGTGTGCTCAGGGTAATGGACGGTCACCATGTCGAGGACGTCCGACATGTGGTCAAGCATCTTGAGGCCAATCCAATAACCATCCTTGTTCTTGCCGTACTCGAAGAGGTGGTAGAACCAGTGGTTTCCGGCCTTGTCGACGTGCAGCATGTCGATCGGCCGGTACTTCTCCTCTTTGACGGTGTGTCCCCGGCGAGCTGCCGCCGCTGTGTCCGTGCATCGTTTCTTCCTGTTGCTCTCGGCCTTATCGATCTGGGCCGGCGGCACAGAGAAGAAGCCAACGTTGTGGATGATCGTCCCTGACACCATGATTCCCTGGCCTTGGGACTTTTTGGTGACCACGTGTTGGTCTGGCCTGTCCCACGCGGACTTTTGGTCGTCGTTGGCTGTTGGGAAAAAAAAAGAGACGGAAAGCAGCCTAGAGAAACAAACAACGAGTGTCAAATGATGCGACTAAATTTGTGCAACATAGTGTATTGTTGCAGTGGTTCTTTCATGCGAAACTTGTTGCCAAGCCAACCAAACATGTATGCAAGTGCAGCCGATAAATAACCAATACAGCTGCAGTACAGCCCCACTTACCGCGAAATATGCTCTCGTCCTGGTAGAGAAGTAAGGCGCGCCGTCAGTCAGCATCTACGTCTTCTAGCGCTGCACTCTCGCTTGCAGCTCTGCTGGCAGCTCCACCAAGGCCGGTCCAAGATCATCGACACACGCCCACACACCACCATCCGCAAGGCGATCGTTCTCCTTCACGTTGTCGTCGCCGATGCGTCAGGCAGTTGCTTCATCCTTCGTCATCAAAATCCACACCTCCATGTATGTATGTAGTCGCGGATTTCAAATAGTTTACCAGCCCTTGCCGGTTTAACAGAATTTTTTACCTCTCAATATTTGAAAAATTCCCACGCAAGACACACGACTGCAGGTTCGGACCAAACGTTTTTTGAACCCGTTTTTCTCGGGGATTCCAAAAATGAAAAAAAAAAGTGTTATTTTTTTTGTTCGTGCCCTTCTGCCCACTTGTAGTTTTGTAGTATTTTTGTGATTTTTCAAGAATTTCGATTTGGCATAACTCGGACCCATTTTATTTTTACGTCGTAAACGTAGGTTCATTCGAAAGCTCGTGATCACAGCTTTCATATGGTATAGATGGTGCTGTGGATCGATATTTTTCAAATTTTGCACTATTGAGTTCATGACTATTTATTTCCACTTTATTTGTAGCCTGCCCACCACCCCCAGGTGTTTATCATCGGGGTTGGGTTTTCGTCGCTTGGCAACGACGTTGTAAAACAAGCCGCCCCCCCCTGTGTTTGCCATGGGGACTGGGTTTTCGTCGCTTGGCAACGACGTTGTAAAACAAGCCGCCCCCCCCTGTGTTTGCCATGGGGACTGGGTTTTCGTCGCTTGGCAACGAGGTTGTAAAACGAGTCAATTCACTTCGTGAACTTGGCAACCAGGTTACCGTTTGTTTATTTTTTCCTCCGTTTTTTTTTTGGCGGTAACCATAATGGTGGTCGAGTAGATCATGTTGTGCGGGGTGGAGAACCCTCACTCCGCGCAAGGGGGATGATCGCACCACGTTGTGTTAAAATGGTCAAGCACCCTCGAGGCAGTTACACAGTGCTTACAACTGTCTCAGGAAGTGAAAGCACCAGAAAATAAAAGTCATACGCAGCTAGCTGTCATTGTACGCAAGGAAGTAAGCACAAGATGCCGAACACCCTTAGCAGGATGCAGCGCACCCTTCATGCGACTCGCCGAATATCTCACGGCGCTTCGCGCTTGGTGATGTGAGAGCCTGGTCCGGTGAGAACCCGGCGTGCTCCGTCCCGGCTTTGTAGGGATGCGAGGTCAATAGCATCGACCGCGCTAGCCGGCTGACCAATGAAAACACGTCAGTCTTAGTGCGGTTGAAAACACAAAACACTTCTATCTACCATGAACTGGGACCCCGTGAGGGGGCAGCATGGGGGAGGCTAAACTATCCTTCGGATTAAAAACAGAAACAGCAGCAACAGACGAAAAANCTGTCTCTTATACACATCTAGATGTGTATAAGAGACAGTTACTATCGTTGTCGCAGAGATCCCAACCGATTGGCCCTGGTGGAAGTTGGTCGATCAGCAGCCCATGACGTTTGAACACATGGCGAGTTCGCATCGACAGAAAACGAGCTAGCTCGAAGGTAAACCATCTACGAATCCTGTTGGTATGAAACGCTTTCAGGCGAACTAAGGCTCTTTCGTCTTCAAGACTCCCCCGGCAAAAAGCTTCGTGCGCCAAGTGGTTGGCGATAGCAACGATGAGTCGATTGGTGCTGTTGTCAAGACCACCATTCGTTGAAAAAGCAGCAGTAAGGAGGGTAGATCTAGACGGGTTGAAAGTTCCCGCATAGTGATTTGCCTTACTTGCAGCTCGATCTTCGAGGGCGGATCCTGGCTTAAGGATCGACTTGTCGATGCTTCGACCCGCGTATGGGTTGACGATTCTTACGTCTATGAGAATGGACTTGGTGCAGAGTTCCTCTTCCTTCTCTCCTGCGAGTAATCCTGAGGGGATTACCAAATCCATCTTGTATAACCCCTTTCCCATACCAGTGCCTGTGGTACAAGGGGAAGAATCCTCAACGGCGATGGGCATATGGCACTCGCGCAGTGTCTTGAGGACTACTCGAACCATCCTGTTATGGAGGAAGGTTGATGCGCCGGTCTTGGTGCAGACGAGGGAGTGGGCTCGGCTCAGGCGGTCCTTGCGTGGTGACAATGCACCTGCACCACAAAGTTTGCCTGCGTTGCAGTCTGCTCGATCGTGACTCCCCAGTACACGACCGATTGACTCGATATAGATCAGGCAGCATTCTTTCATCTGCTGACAACCCTTGCGTTGTCAACCACGACAAAACTCCCTTGCCTTTCGCTTCCTCCAAGCGGATCATGTTGGGCGTACTAGCGGGACCTCACCGCTGTTGTACGTTGTGGTTGGCGTATGTGACGCAAGAGGCGCGGGTAGAGAAACACAGAGTGATCAATATTTCACACATCGGCGTCCAAGCTGTCTTCACCTCACGGTTACAGACCTGGATACACGCCTTCATCATACTGCACCAAACCCTGCAGTAGAATAGAGTCAGTTCTTGCACACAATTCTCCCAACATGTCCTCTCAAGAACTACGTCATTCCAGCTCTGATACATGAGACACGAAATTCTCTCAATTTCAATGTCCTCTCGAAACAATACCAGTGTCCTCTCGACAAATGTGCTATCGACGTGAGTGCATGCTCTCGAACCAACTCCTAAATATGTACTCATTGATTGCATCGAAATGTTCTTCTACTTTCCAACGTTTGTTATTCTACAATAATATTTCATGCACCATCCAACCCTTGAGACATTATGTCTGATTTCGGTAATGGGGAGGTGTTTACACTCCAAGCAAGAGAAGGCGGTTCTGGAGGAACTTCACAGCTCCCTGGCTTTTAGTCAGGATGTCAGCCTTCTGCAAGTTAGTCTCGATGTACTTGACGTCGACGATTTTCTTCTCCTCTAAGTACCGAACGTGGTGATACTTGACGTCGATATGTTTACTACGGGGCGTGAGTTTGGCGCCCTTAGCAAACGCTACAGTGCCTGTGTTGTCCTCAAACACTACCGTGGGCTGCTCCTGCTTCATGTTCAGCGACTTCAGCAAATTACGAAAGTGGATGACAATAGTGCACGCCTTGGACAGGGCAACGGCTTCAGCCTCGAACGTTGAGATGGCCAGCACCGTTTGCTTCTTGGATATCCAGTCCACTGGGGCACCTGCGAGATAGAGAACGGCACCGGTTGTGGAGTAGCCTTTGTCCTGCAAAAGCAGAGTCCACGTGCGCCGTGAGTTTATCTCCGCCGTCGGCGTCTTCGGTGTATGTGATTCCGATGGAGATAAAACCTTCTCCTCCTCGGTGCTGATAGGTCCAGGTTCCGCAGGTGTCTTCACCGGGCGCGATTCGGCCATTCCGAACTGGTCGAGCACGGTCTTTGCGTACGTCTCTTGAGAAAGGAATATGGTACCGGCGTCGACGTTCCTCTCAAGCTTCATACCAAGCAGGTGCTGAGCATCCCCCAAGAACACCGTGTTGAACCGTTCCTTCAGCAGATCAACGACCATCATGACCTTCTCCTCGTCCTTCCCCGACAGCAGGATGTCGTCAACGTACACGAGAAGGATAACTCCTTCCGCTTCGAGAATGTAGAGACAGGGGTCTGCTTTACTCTGTACGAACCCTTTCTCAATCAGGAAGTCGTGGAAGGTGCTGCACCAGCCTTTCGGGGAGAGACGCAATCCGTAGAGCCATGCCTTTAGCCGCCACACCTGCCGTGCTTGTTCTGGAGAGCATTCGAAACCTTTCGGAGGACAAACATAAATCGGGTCTGCGTTAGCGGGGATCCTGGCATGTAGGAACGCTGTCTTGATGTCAGCCTGTTTTAGAACAAAGCCATTCTGAGCAGCGACGGCGACTACTAGATGTACCGCCTCCAATGTCGCCACTGATGATGCCTTGTCTTCCCCCGTGTCTTCTTGATGGAAGCCTTGGACCACGATACGACTCTTCAGTCGAGCTAGTTCTCCGTCTGCTGCGTACTTCCGTTTGTATAGGTATCTTGACGGAAGTATATCACCGTCCGCCGGCCGTTTCACCCAATCGTATACGTCGAGTTCCGTGAGCGAACGATTTTCTTCGCGCATACTCTCCCTCCAGTGGTCAGCATCTGGTCCACGTGTTGCGTCGTCGTAATCGGTCGGGTCGGGAGGCCTGTAACCTATTTCTCCAGGGTTGCCCGTCCCGATGTTTCCGAGTACACCCCCTGTCAGAAGAGCTTGTTCCACCTGCTGATAAGCATCCTCCTCCGAGGTCACCAGGTTGGTAGATTGTCGTGTTTGGCACAGGAAACGGATCGCGCCCTACTTTGGGTTTAACCACGTCGCGCATCTCCTTTTCACGGAAGGATACTTCGGCAGAGTTGGTGATTTTAGAAGGCTCCGCAGGATCCCACAGTCTGTACGACCTACCCTTGGTATTTTAGCCTACCAGATACATCTTCTTGGCCCTGGCCGCAAGCTTGTTGGGACGGAAACGCGCTCCCTCATGTTTGAAGGCCATCGAACCCCATTCGTGAATGTGCAGCAGATTACCTAGCGGCTTCCCCTCCCATACCTCGAGTGGGGATTTGCCGCCCAGGACTTCAGTTGGTGTGCGATTCTTGAGATAGATGGCGGTCTGGAATGCTTCAGCCCTCAGCTCGCTGGGAAGGTGCGGTAGCGTATGACACGTCGTCTACGAGATTCGCGGTCGAGCTTGGTTTAGGAGTATCGCTTTGCGGCGATCGAGAGCAGGGTCAAGATGGCTACCAGGCGCGAAAATGAAGCCCGTCAAGCAGCGGAGGCCGGCCAAGCAGCGGAGGGCGCCAGGATCGAAGAACAAGATAGCTCCCGCAGCGTCGACAAGAGCGCGCGGGTTGAAGCAGAAGAAGTCAGCAGGAGTCCGGACGTCAGCTGCGAGGTGAAAGCAGGAGAGGGTTAGATAAAAGTCATGCGAGAGAGCGAAGAGTACGAGGTAGGCCAGCAGCAGGGAGCGCGCCTAGAACCATCGACCACGCCCGCGGACGATATCCCCCTGACCATCGCGCGAGCCCCCGAGGGGCGGCTCAGCGCATTACAGCAGCACCACTTCTGCTACTAGGGTCCCAGACCCGCTCAGGCACGTGATGAAATGATCATGTCCTCTGTCCGAAGACGAATATGGCCTTGTTTTGTGTTCCGAAAGTTTTTTTGTCTTGTCTTGTGTCTGAATCGTTTCCTGTGTTGGGAATTCTGCGAAATGTGTGATGTTGGGATGAAAGAGAGAGTACGGTTGTCACGAACGAGATAACTGAACGTGTGAGAGTTATCAAGCCACCAATAGCACGTATGAGGGGATGTTATGCTTCCAAGAGTTTAGTTGCCAATCGTGCAACGAAAA